GGGCGAGCGGGCGGGGGCGCCTGCACCTGGGGCCCGGCGAGGAACGGGGCAGGGCCGCCTCTGCGAGTGAGGGGGGCAGCTCCGGCAGGGGCAGGGAGCCACAGGGCAGCAGGCAGAGCAGCCAATCAAGGAGGCACAGAACAGGGAGCAGGAAAAAGGGCAGCAAATCAAGATAGGAGCACAGGCCAGGGAGGAAAAAGCAGAATAGCTGCTCAAGCAGGGGGCAGAGGGCAGGGAGCCAAAAACAGAGCAGCAGATCAGGCAGGGAGCAGAAAGCAGAACAGTAGCTTGGGCAGGGAGCAGAAGATCAGCCGGAGCACAAGGCAAGGAGCAGAAGGCAAAGCAGCAGATCAGGCAGGGAGCTGGAGGCAGAGCAGCAGATGGAGCAGGGGACACAGCATAGGAAGCAGAAAGTAGAGAAGCAGATCAGAAGGAGTAGGAAGCGGAGCAGCAGTTCAGGTAGGGAGCAGAAAGCAGAGTAGTGGATTGAGCAGGGAAGAGGATCAGAGTAGCACTCAGAAACATTGTGTGACACTTAATTTGTGATGTGCCTGCTAAAAAGGTTGGTGCCCACTGAACTGGCATATCACATGGCAGGTTTATAGGAAATCATTAGGGAATTAGGCAGTGGAAATGAGGAATAAACTTTTGAAAAGTCCCTAAATAGTTCTGAAAATCTGGCCTTTAGGTTTATAAGCATCCAGTAAGACATTTAGAAGTGCTCAAGCAATATAGGCAGCTGCCTCCAATTGATGCAGTATTGATCCAGCTAATTAATGCCTTTGACATACCTTTGAGAATGCAGTTCTGAATCCCTTCTGAAATGGAATTTAGGAGTTGAAGTCTCATTGACCGCCAGGGACACTCCGACTTCTAACACTCTAATATTGGATTCTGAAAGTATTATCCCAGGAGTTCTTGTTCCCTGACAATGTTCTGAATCCTGGACAAACTTAGTTCACTGGGTATGAAAGAAGCCTGTTCCTTCTTCCACTAATGCAAATCCCAGAAAGTTTTTTATCACTGATTGTAGGATAAGCCTATTTAAGCTCCCCGTCCTGCAAGTTATCATACATAGCTAGACACCAGTGCTTATGTGGAGCATTGTGCAACATATTTGCAAGGTCAGGGCTTTAGCTGCTACTCCCTGACTTGGCTTTAGGTTTTGCAAATAATTGTGTCATTATTAAGTTCATAACTTCTATTGCTTAACTTAGATATTTAACTGTATGAAATATTAATATTACCATGCATATTAATAAGTTAAATTATTATTTGTATTAATAGTACTACTGCAATTGCAATCAGAATCCAATCATACAAATACATAGAGCTGTTTTAGTGGCAAACAGATCAATTTTATATAGAGGAAAACAAATCTAAAATAAAGATAGTTACACTTTTGGAATGGTTTTGTTTTAACAGAGTCTTTGGAACATGCAACAAAGAGAGAACTGTATCTCTTTGTATCAGGTACTGTATCTGGTAGTAAAAAAGGAGCTTTTATAACATCAGTTTGTGAATGTACTTACCATAGGAATCCAGTTGTCCTGTTTTGAAAAAACTATATTAATTTATTTTGACAGAAATGTATAGCCATGCTGCTTTGTTTAAGAAGGCAGAGGAGCTGTTGGCGAAGAGGATAAAAGAAGGAGACCCCCTGGCATATTTCCTAAAAGGGCAGCTGTACTTTGAAGAGGTTGTAGTTTAATGCTTTTTTAAGAAAACATTTTAAACTGATATTTTTCAATACAATTTCAGGGGGAAAATATTAACACTGGAAATTGCTCCATGGGAAGATATAGAAAGTAACATAAAAGTAGTAAAAATTGATTAGTAACTTGGAAGCATGATTCCCTACAAGAAACAATGAAAAATCAAAAAGAGGGAGACAGTGGGGACAGCTAAACATACAGATACTATCTATCTGTTGCACATTTATTAATCTGAACTGAATGTTTTGGGCACATGCTGGGAAGGTGCAAAATGTTAGTTCCAATTGTTAAACCCCCCCCCCCCCCCCCAAAACCACCCCAC